TTTCGACGTCTGGGAGGGCCAGAAAACGACGACCCTCACAAGGATTCTGGCCCCGAGGGGGGGGGGGGAGTTTGGTGCCTCAGCTCGTCTTTGAAGCACAAATCATTGATTTTACTAGGGTTTTGGGCCCATTTTGGGCTTCTGAGGGGGCAGCGCTCATCGTCCTTCATAGCAAAATCATTGATTTTACGAAGGTTTTGGGCTCATTTTGTCCTTCTCAGGGGGCAGCGCTCATTTGCGCTTCTGAGGAGGTCGCAAGAGGCCCCAAGATGGCCCCAAGAGGCCCCCAGGAGGCTCCCAAGAGGCCTCCAAGAGGCCCCCAAGAGGCCCCCAAGAGGCCCCAAGAGGCCCCCAAGAGGCCCCCAAGAGGCCCCCAAGAGCCCCAAGAGGCCCCAAGAGGCCCCCAAGAGGCCCCCAAGAGGCCCCCAAGAGGCCCCCAAGAGGCCCCAAGAGGCTCCAAGAGGCCCCCAAGAGGCCCCACGAGGAGCCCGAACGACTCACACCAGGACGAGGGGCCCGAACGACTCACACCACGAAGAGCCCGAACGACTCACACCACAAGGAGGGGCCCGAACGACTCACACCAGGACGAGGCGCCCGAACGACTCACACCACGAGGAGCCCGAACGACTCACACCACGACGCGGGCCCCGAACGACTCACACCACGAGGAGCCGGAACGAGTCACACCAGGAGGAGGGGCCCGAACGACTCACACCAGGACGAGGGGCCCGAACAACTGACACCACGAGAAGCCCGAACGACTCACACCAGGACGAAGAGCCCGAACGACTCACACCACGAAGAGCCCGAACGACTCACACCAGAAAGAAGGGCCCGAACGACTCACACCAGGACGAGAAACCCCAAACGACTCAAACCACGAGGAGCGCTTTCTCTCCCTCCTCCTCCGCCTCGTCCTTCTCCCGCTCCCCCCACAATGAGGATGTACAAGGAGGCGGGAGGAAGGAGGAACAGGGAGATATGCGGGGCCAAGCGGACACACGCCTGAAAAACACGACTGTCGGCATGCTTCGCAAGAGTTGCTGCTGTGAGATGGGCTGGTGGGGATACGCGAAGCGTAAAGAATTTCGATGTTCCCTGCCTAAGCTCTGCCTAAAAAGGTTCTTACTCGGTATATGCTTAAAGGGCCGGGCGGTGCAACTCGCGCCGGGCGGTTCCCCCAGTATCCGCCCCGCGGTTCCCCCAGTTACGTCCCCTTAGCTTAGCGTTGCTTATCTCATCTTAGCTTAGCTTATTTAATCTTAGCTTAGCTTCATCTTAGCTTAACTTAGCTTCCTATAGATGCTGCTTTCCTATTTCATGTCTCGGGAGTCCCGATCGCGGCAAGCTGCGCGGATCTGCTCAGCAGCGACTCCGCCAGCACCTTCGTCAGCGGGGAGGCGCGCACGGCGGTCAGCCGCAGGGGCCTGCCGTCGGGCAGGTGGCCCCCCTGCCGGTTGAGGGCCGCCTGGCGGGACCTGGCCGAGCTCCGCGGGCGTCGGATCGGGGCAGGGAGGAGGCACGTAGGAGGAAGGGGGGCCGAGGGAGGAGGAGGAGGAGAAGGAGGAGGAGGAGGAGGAGGAGGAGGAGGGAAGAAAGAGGAGGAGGACGAGGAGGAGGAGGACGAGGAGGAGGAGGAAGAGGAGGAAGGGGGCCGAGAAGGAGGAGGAGGAGGAGAAAGAGGAGAAGAGGAGGAGGAGGAGGAGGAGGAGGAGGAGGAGGAGAAAGAGGACGAGGAGAGGAGGAGGAGAGGAGGAGGAGAGGAGGAGGAGGAGGAGAGGAGGAGGAGGAGGAGGAGGAGAGAGGGAGGAGGAGAAGGAGGAAGAGAGGAGGAGAGAGGAGGAGGAGGAGGAGGAGAAAGAGGAGAAGAGGAGGGGAGAGCGAGGAGGAGGAGAGAGGAGGAGGAGGAGGAGGAGGAGGAGGAGGAGGAAGGGGGCCGAGGAGGAGGAGGAGGAGGAGGAGGAGGAGGAGGAGGAGGAGGAGGAGGAGGAGGAAGGGGGCCGAGGTTCACTGCCCTTAGAGGGGAGAGGGTCAGGGGAAAGAGAGGAAAATTGGGGTGGGGGCGCCCTTCAGACGAGATCTTTTTGTTCCCGCCCGAGGCTGTGACCCACCTCGGGCGGGCCCAGCCGACAGGGCCCCCCACCCCCCAGAAACTTACACTTCAGCCTCTGGGTCCGCGGCACTCGCCGCCCTGGCGTGGGCAGAGGCTCGATCGAGGAGCATCTGCCGACCACGCTCATGCCCCTCCTCTCTGGAGCTGAAACCAAAAGCGAGCAGCACGGAATCCAAGCCGAGGCGTGAGGCCTCGGCCTGCTTCGAAAAAGGGGCCACCCTCGGCGCACTTGGAGCCGCAGCCGCCCCTCCAGGGGCCTCCCCGAACGCCAGGAGAAACGGCCCCTGGTCCCCACGGACGGGGCCACCGAGGGCCCGAGCGCCACGAGAGGGTGCCCCACAGGATGAAAACCTTCTTTCAACCTCGTACGGACAGTACACGCTGACCCACCCGAGAGCTTCATGGGCCCCTTGCAGACACCTGCAAGACCTCGCCGCAACGGGGTGGCCGCAAATAGCCAACACGACGGGCAAAAGGAAACGATCGGGGAGCCATTGGGCACGGAGCTCCGCCCCACGCCGTGCCCCTTCACCCTCCAGGGTTGAACACCCTTGCCTAGAAGCCAGTCGGGGTCTTCTGAGGCGGGCCCAGGAGGTACGGACGCAGCAGCACCAGCAGGAGGCGCAGGAGGAGGGGCGACCACGTCAGCAACAGTGCGCCGTCCGAGCCGGGGGACGCCAACGGGGGGCAGAAGAGGCGAGAGCCTCGGCGGGGAGGCGAGAGCCAGCGCCCCCGCTCGCACCCCAAGCAGGTGGGAGAAGGCGCGCGGGCACCCAAGCCGCCTCCAGCACAAGTCGAGCGCCGCCATCGGGCGGGCGGGCGATCAGCTCCTCCTCCTCCTCCTCCTCCTCCTCCTCCTCCTCCTCCTCGTCCTCCTCCTCCTCTTTCTTCTCCTCCTTCCTCGTCGTCCTCCTCCTCCTCCTCCATCTCCCGCGTTCTTCTCCTGCTCTCCCGCCCCCCCCTGCCCACCCCTCACCGAGGCCCGCGCCCTGCCGAGCCCTCGCCGAGGAGCCAGCGATCCGGCCCGCCGGCGGCTCTCCAGGACGAGGCCTGTGCGCCAGCTCGGCGCTTCCGCTCTCGCATGGGGCGTCGCAGCGCCTGCACGAGACGTTATTAAAACAAGGCTAGGATCTTGATAAATCGCTCCAGAGCGTTCTGGAGCGCTCTCAGAGCGTTCCGGAACGCTCTGGAGCGGCCGCGGCGCCCGATACACCCTCCAAACCCGCCGCTTCTCAGAGATTTCGAGTTATCCCGATCCGATTTTGTCCCGATCTTCGCGTCGTTTTAGTGATGGTCAACGGCTTGGCCGATGTGTCCGAGATGCTCGCGTGCCTCTGGAGCACGAGCGGGCGGCGCTCCAGCCGCGTCGTCGACCAGGGCAGCCGTGGGGGTGCGGGCGCCCATGCCTGGCGCCCTGCGCAGGACGCCCCCCGCGCCTCTCCGCTCGCACTGCCGCCAAAACGAGGTGGAGGGCGACGGGCCGATCCGAGTTTGTCCCGATCTTCGCGTCGTTTTATCTGTTGGACCGACCAGGCGCCGGTTGGCCGTCCAGAGCGCGGCGCTCGAGGGGAGAGGCCCCCCCTTTCTCCCGCCGGCCGCGCCGCGGTCCGGCGTCCGGAGCGCCAACGTGTAGCAGCTCGCGCCGTGCCGAGCGCGGCGGGCCTCCCAGCATCGGCAGGAAGCTGCCCCCTGCTCGACGCGGGCTGCCTCGGAGCCCCCCTCGCGCAGCTCTCGGATGAGAGCCCACAGGGGGAGGAGGAGGAGGGGGAGGAGGAGGAGGAGGAGGAGGAGGAGGAGGGGAGGAGGAGGAGGAGGAGGAGGAGGAGGAGAGGAGGAGGAGGAGGAGGAGGGGGAGGAGGAGGAGGAGGAGGAGGAGGAGGAGGAGGAGGAGGAGGAGGAGGAGGAGGAGGCCCCGTCCGCCCCCGCTCCAGCGCCAGACTGCGCCCCTGCGTGAACCTCGCACCCAGGACTGGCGCGCCCGACTCCATCGAGCGAGCGTTGCGTTGCAACCATCGTACTCCAGGTCCAAATCCCAGAAACAATTTCGAGCACCCAGAAAATTATCGAGACAGTGTCGGACGAGTGTCGCCGCCCAGGGTCCGACACATGAAAACCCTTAAGTCTCGTACTTTCTTGGTGCTCGAATTGTTGCTGGTGGTCAAGGCTGAAGTAGGTTGGAACATCCTAAAGCGAGCGCTCGATTGAGGCTTCACATTCACATCGTCAAACCATATAGCCGCCCAATGAAACAGACGGGCCCCCATATCGAGCCATATCGTCAACATCCTGCGGGGGGAGCACAATGTCACTTGGGTCCTCTCCACTCTCGCCCTCGTGCTTCACATCTCCGCTTTCAGGTCTATCCACGCCCCGCGAACAAGTCTTGGAGCCCTCCACCGGCTGTGGGATCTGCGCGTTGGCGGCATCAGCGCACCACACTCGCTGGAGTCATAGCACGCATCGAACAGCTACGATTACGGGCAGCTTGCCCAAGCCGTCGACGCTGAAATTGAGCTTTTTCGGTCAAGTCCACCCTCTCGACCTCGACCAGCTTCTCACCGAGCGAAACACTCCGGACTTGAGCCAAAATGGCTACGGACTGGCGAGCGCAGAGGAGAAGGAGGAGGATGGGGGCAAGATCAATCGGCATCGCTTCGAGAAATCGGATCCAATCGTAATGCGCGTCGAATTGAGCTGCATTGGCACATAATCGAAATCATGGAATCTGATCGGCTGGGCCAGGATGCTCAACAACCCCACGCAAGCATTGGGCCCAATCGGATCGCTGGAGAGTCGAAATCGAAACGGATCGAGACGGCCGACGTCGATGTCGAATCGGATCGATCGGATCGAGATGGACGCTGGACCTGATGCAGTCCTTCAGCGCGAAGAGCGAGCTATTGATCTCGGCGCTCTCCTTAGAGGGGATGCCCGAAGAAAGAGAGAGAGAGAGCGAGAGACAGAGAGAGTTGAAGGTCAGGGAGGAACTCTTCGAACATGCTGGGAGGTGATCTGAAGTTTTCGAGCCCTGGGGTGGTGTTCATCAGCTGCGCCTCGTTGAGAGCGGCCTGGAGATGCCGGAAAATCGCCCCAAACGGCCGCCGCAGGCCCGGGTTACAGCCAACCCGCAGACTAGGGGCAGACGATAAGGATGCAAGGGTCTCGGAAGGCCTTGTCGACATGTTGCGGGCGGGGCGCGGCCAAAGGAAGCGGCCAAGGATGGGCCGACGGGGAAGGATGCAAGGGCAACCTTGGAAAGTCGATCAACCTCACTATGCGGGTTGACTGTATGATTAGGTCGGGCATGTCCTCCTACAGGCGAATTTTGGACGAAACAGAGAAAAAATCCTCCTGCAGAGGAACAGGCCCGGCTTAACTGTACGGCCCGAGAAAACCCGAGAGCGGAAGGTCAGGCGCACGGGAGCCGGAGAGGAGGGCTGTTTTTGCAGAGGAGGGGTCGTCGGGAGCCACGCACGGGGCGGGGTTCTACTGGCCCGGGCCCACGCAAGCCCGGGTCAGTCAGGCCTTGTTCGGCGGCGAGCGCGGGGGGGGGGGGGGGGGAAGCGAGAAGGAGAGGGCCATTCTCAGAGGGCGTCGGAGCTTCTCAGCAGAAGGCCTCCGGACCTCCGAACGGTTCTCTCCGCGTCTTGGGGGAAGGCTCACCTGGGCATCGCTCGGACGTCCATTCCCTGTGCTTTTTTCGGTTTCGTGCGTGGCTTTTTCGCCAAATGATCAAGGATGCTCCTCGATGGTCCTCGCCGAAGGAAAAATGCACATGTCCGAGCGATGCCAAGTCACAGGAAGCTTCTCGGGAGGCGAGGGGGGCTCCCCAGCCTTCCGAGAGAAGGCCCGCCCCCCTCCCCGCCGCCCGCCCCCTCTCCCTCGCCCGCCGCCGATCTGCAGCATCCTGCAAGAGCTCCGGCAGGCTCCTGCAGGGCCCTGCGCCCCAGACCGAGGTCAACATGCTCCTCCCCTGGCCCTGCAGCATCCTGCAAGATGCGGCGCTCCTGGGCATCGCTCGGACGTCCATTCCCTGTGTTCTTTTGTGGTTTCGTGCGCGTTTTTTTTTTTCGCCAAATGATCGAGGATGCTCCTCGATGGTCCTCGCCGAAGGAAAACATGCACACGTCCGAGCGATGCCAGGGCTCTGGCGGACCCCCGCCTGCACCGACCCCCGTCTCGAGGCTCCCGACACGAGGTCCTCCCAGACCTCCGGCGTCACGACGTTTGTCAAGTCAACATGCGCCCCTGGCTCTGCAGCATCCCGCAAGATGCGGCGCTCTGGCTGACCCCCGCTTGCACCGACCCCCGTCTCACTGACCATCGCTCGGACGTCCATTCCCTGTGTTATTTTCGGTTTCGTGCGTGGTTTTTTCGCCAAATGATCAAGGATGCTCCTCGATGGTCCTCGCCGAAGGAAAAATGCACACGTCCGAGCGATGCCAGGGCTCTGGCTGACCCCCGCCTGCACCGACCCCCGTCTCGAGGCTCCCGGCAAGAGGTCCTCCCAGACCATTGGGCGTCACCATGTTTGTTCGTGGCGTGTGCCCCACCCCAGGTCAACATGCTCCCCTGGCTCTGCAGCATCCTGCAAGATCCGGCGCTTGGCTGACCCCCGCTTGCACCGGCCCCCGTCACAAGGCTCCCGACACGAGGTCCTCCCAGACCACTGGACGTCACCACGTGTTTGTGCGTGGCGGGTGTCTCTGGACCGCTCGACCCGATCCCTGGGACAGCTGCGGCATCCAAACAGTGCCCGCGACGTGCCTCCTCCTCCTCCTCCTCTTCCTCCTCCTCCTCCTCCTCCTCCTTCTGCTCCTCCTCCTCCTCCTCCTCTTCTGCTCCTCCTCCTCCTCCTCCTCTTCCTCCTCTTCCTCCTCCTCCTCTCTCCTTCCTCCTCCTCCTCCTCCTCCTCCTCCTCCTCCTCTTCCTGCTCCTCCGCCTCCCCCTCTGCCCCGTCTCAGCGCGAGCCGATCGTTTTGAGGAGCGCTCCATACAAAAGAGCACGCTGCAAGGACTCTCTGCTCCGCTGGACCCCCCACTCGCCATCGCTCGGACGTCCATTCCCTGTGCTTTTTTCGGTTTCGTGCGTAGTTTTTTCGCCAAATGATCAAGGATGCTCCTCGATGGTCCTCGCCGAAGGAAAAATGCACACGTCCGAGCGATGCCAAGCTTCTCAGCGCGAGCCGATCGTTTTGAGGAGCGCTCCCTACAAGAGAGCACGCTGCAAGGACTCTCTGCTCCGCTGGGCCCCCCAGGAGACCACGACAGTGGCAACACTGGCGCACTGCGCCCACGAGAGTTGTGGCATCCCTTCAAGAGAAGTTGATGACTACTTCCCCTGGGCATCTCACTGGCTTTGGACGAATGGATTTCCTCGCAAATTGTTCAAACGCCGCGCCCTCAAGGAGGCAGAGGGGGAGGCTCAGGAGGAGGAAGAGGAGGAGGAGGAGGAGGAGGAGGAGGGGAGGAGGAGCGAGAGGAGGACGAGGAGGGGGAGGCTGAAGAGGGAGGAAGAGAGGAGGAGGAGGAGGAGGAGGAGGAGAGAGGAGGAGGAGAGGAGGAGGAGGGAAGGAGGAGGAGGAGGGGGAGCAGGAGGAGGAGGACGAGGACGAGGAGGAGGAGGAGGAGGAGGAGGAGGAGGAGGAGGAGAGGAGGAGGGAGAGGAGCAGAAGGGGGAGGAGGAGGAGGAGGGCATTTAAAACAATGAATGCAAACATCAGTTTTTAAATTCAGAAAACAATTGTCTGAATCCCACTAGCCCTTTAGGGCGTAAGGTGGTGTAGGGAGCTTCCTCTTCCACCCCTCCATCTTTCCCTTCGGGGAGGGGTTTACCACTGTTTCCTTTTAATGTACACTCCCTCCCCCACCCGGCCGGCGGCCAACCCAGAACCATGACAACCCCATGAGGGCCACCCCCCCACCATCCCTGTCAAATTACCCTGGCGACGTACCCAACCCCTGCGCAATGCAAGGCAGGAGTAGCTTGGGAGATTTGGTGAGAGGGCGACGGCATGACATGGACGCATATACTTCTGCGAGCGGCATTCGGGCGGTTCGCAGGTCCCCGACCAAGGGAAAAAGCGTGGTAGAGATGAGTATCTAAGTGAACCCCTGAGTCACTAAGGCAAGGTCCAAACGGAGAAGGCGGGCAACGGGCTTGAAATGTCGGCGGGGCAGCAACGACATGGCATGGCTCCCTCGAACCGAAATTCCCACGCGACGACGCCTGCGCGGTGCCTCACTCCGCTGGACCCACCAGCAGCCCTCGAAAATGGCGAGAGTTTCGCAGATCGCAGCTCCCCAGGGTCGCAGATCGCAGCCCCCCAGGGACGGCGAGGTCTACCTCAGATCTGTGCGGTGCCTCACTCCGCTGGGCCAACCAGCAGCCCTCGACAGTGGCGACAATTTCGCAGATCGCAGCCGCCCTAAGGACGGCGAGGCCTACCTCAGGTCTGTGCGGTGCCTCACTCCGCTGGGCCCACCAGCAGCCCTCGAACGTGGCGACTGTTTCGCAGATCGCAGCCCCCCGGGACGGCGAGGTCTACGTCAGGTCTGCGCGGTGCCTCACTCCGCTGGGCCCACCAGCAGCCCTCGAAAATGCGACCACTTCTCCAGATCGCAGCCCCCCAGGGACGGCGAGGTTTACCTCAGGTCTGCAAGGTGCCTCACACCGCTGGACCCACCAGCAGTCCTCGAAAGAGGCGACAAATTCGCAGATCGCAGCCCCCCAAGGACGGCGAGGTCTACCTCAGGTCTGCGCGTGCCTCACTCCGCTGGACCCACCAGCAGCCCTCGAAAGTGGCGACAGTTTCGCAGATCGCAGCCCCCCAGGGACGGCGAGGTATACCTCAGGTCTGCAAGGTGCCTCACACCGCTGGACCCACCAGCAGCCCTCGAACGAGGCGACAATTTCGCAGATCGCAGCCCCCCAGGGACGGCGAGGTCTACATCAGGTCTGCGCGGTGCCTCACTCCGCTGGACCCACCAGCACCCTCGAACGTGGCGACTGTTTCGCAGATCGCAGCCCCCCAGGGACGGCGAGGTCTACCTCAGGTCTGCGCGGTGCCTCACTCCGCTGGACCCACCAGCAGCCCTCGAAAGTGGCGACATTTCGCAGATCGCAGCCCCCCGGGACGGCGAGGTCTACCTCAGGTCTGCGCGGTGCCTCACTCCGCTGGACCCACCAGCAGCCCTCGAAAGTGGCGACAGTTGTTCGCAGATCGCAAGCCCCCAGTGACGGCGAGTCTCCTCAAAGGCTGCGCGGGGTGCCCCACTCCGCTGGACCCCACCAGCATCCCTCGAACGTGGCGTCGTTTCGCAGATCGCAGCCCCCCCCCCAGGGCGGTCGCCTCCTTGCGGGAGACGGAGGCACTAGGAGGCGACGCGACCGAAGTTGTCCTACTCAAACGAATGCCCAATCAAGGAGGGTTGGACTAAAAACCATACAAAACGCACTCTGCCTCCTCATTTGGAGCATGCGCGGCCGCCCCGCGACCATTTTGCATGGGTATTTTTTGTTAGGGACGGCTGGGGCGCCAGCAGATCCCACCTGCCTTCTGGGCGCAGGTGGTCGACCGACTGGTTTGACATATCAATGGCTGCTGCTTTTTCGCCTTACCGTTTCCGACGGGATTTCGAAACCTCCACATGGCTCCAAAATTGACAAAGAAATCTCATAGCCTGGCCCAAGAGCCCCTACTGGTTCCCAGTGGCTGGCGCACCTGGCGCGGCTGGAGCACGTGGAACACTGGGCGCACGTGGAGCACCCGCCGCACCTGGCGCGCCTGGCACGCTTGGGTCTCCAGGGTCTGGTGCATCTGGAACCCGCGGCGTCAGCGGCGTTCTTACGCGATATGCTGGCTCCCAGGTGTTACGTATGTGTTGGGAGGGCGGGTGGTAAGCTTTGATCACTGT